CATGGCATTGCATCTCATGACGCAGCGTGGCGTCCGATGGCATTCCAAAGTACATGTATTGACCGAACAGCACCGCACTGCTCTGCGCAATAGAATTCATTCAAATATTACACCCCCCGTTGTTGTCCTTACTGTCGTCCTGCTTATTTTAGCTTAGCAGCTCATCACATGGCAAAGCATTGCATTGCATCGCATACCCCGACATGCCGGGTTTGTGCATACCAAGTAACGCGGTAGCATCGTTCTGCATAGGAAGCATACCATGATATGGTTCAGCGTATCATTCTCATGTATTATCACTGCAGTTCGCAGCACAGTATGGAATGGCATGCAAAGCGCATCGTAGAGTATATCATGCGATTGCATTGCACGCTGCATCGTGACTCCGTGTCGAGTCCATGCAGAGCTCACGTCGAAGCTGCGTCGAGCCCGCGTCGGAGCACAAGAAAAGACTGCCACTTAGGCCCAAAATGGTAAAAACTAGGCATGGGCAATATTATCGGTACCTGCTCCTCTGATCCGCGATTCTGGGGACGTTTCCCAAGAACGTGTTCTATATTGTACCTTTTGGGGCCTTCGTCTGTCACATCGCGCCAGCCATCCGTGTCGCATCCATGTCGAATCTATGTCGAATGCGTCGAGCCCACGTCGGAACACAGGAAAATATTGCCCCTTACAGGACAGGGGATGTCCCCCGAAGATAATTATCCCGGCAAGGCAACCTAACATCGATGTGTAGGAGCATATTTGGAAGCATTCCCCTTAAGATTCGGATGAGAATCCAGTTGTAGAATTCTGCTGTTCTCGCAGTCGTAGTCGCATTCGCGATGACAGTCGCAGTGGCAACGGCAGTCGCAGTCACAGCCTCAGCCTCAGCCTGCCTCAGCCTCAGCCTCAGCCTGCCTCAGCCTCAGCCTGCCTCAGCCTCAGCCTCAGCCTGCTTCAGCCTCAGCCTCAGTCTGCCTTCAGCCTCGGCCTCAGCCTCAGCCTGCCTCAGCCTCAGCCTGCATCAGCCTCAGCCTCAGCCTCAGCCTGCCTCAGCATCAGCCTGCCTCAGCCTCAGCCTCAGCCTGCCTCAGCCTCAGCCTCAGCCTGCTTCAGCCTCAGCCTCAGTCTGCCTTCAGCCTCGGCCTCAGCCTCAGCCTGCCTCAGCCTCAGCCTGCATCAGCCTCAGCCTCAGCCTCAGCCTGCCTCAGCATCAGCCTGCCTCAGCCTCAGCCTCAGCCTGCCTCAGCCTCAGCCTCAGCCTGCTTCAGCCTCAGCCTCAGTCTGCCTTCAGCCTCGGCCTCAGCCTCAGCCTGCCTCAGCCTCAGCCTGCCTCAGCCTCAGCCTCAGCCTGCCTCAGCCTCAGCCTCAGCCTGCTTCAGCCTCAGCCTCAGCCTGCCTCAGCCTCAGCCTCAGCCTCAGCCTCAGCCTCAGCCTTCAGCCTCAGCCTCAGCCTCAGCCTGCCTCAGCCTCAGCCTCAGCCTCAGCCTCAGCCTCAGTCCTTCAGCCTCGGCCTCAGCCTCAGCCTGCCTCAGCCTCAGCCTCAGCCTCAGCCTCAGCCTCAGCCTGCCTCAGCATCAGCCTGCCTCAGCCTCAGCCTCAGCCTGCCTTGGCCTCAGCCTCAGCCTGCTTCAGCCTCAGCCTCAGTCTGCCTTCAGCCTCGGCCTCCGCCTCAGCCTGCCTCAGCCTCAGCCTGCATCAGCCTCAGCCTCAGCCTCAGCCTGCCTCAGCATCAGCCAGCCTCAGCATCAGCCTGCCTCAGCCTCAGCCTCAGCCTGCCTGCCTCAGCCTCAGCCTGCTTCAGCCTCAGCCTCAGTCTGCCTTCAGCCTCGGCCTCAGCCTCAGCCTGCCTCAGCCTCAGCCTGCATCAGCCTCAGCCTCAGCCTCAGCCTGCATCAGCATCAGCCTGCCTCAGCCTCAGCCTCAGCCTGCCTCAGCCTCAGCCTCAGCCTGCTTCAGCCTCAGCCTCAGCCAGCCTCAGCCTCAGTCTGCCTTCAGCCTCGGCCTCAGCCTCAGCCTGCCTCAGCCTCAGCCTGCATCAGCCTCAGCCTCAGCCTCAGCCTGCCTCAGCATCAGCCTGCCTCAGCCTCAGCCTCAGCCTGCCTCAGCCTCAGCCTCAGCCTGCCTCAGCCTCAGCCTCAGCCTGCTTCAGCCAAAGCCTCAGTCTGCCTTGAGCCTTGGCCTCAGCCTCAGCCTGCCTCAGCCTCAGCCTGCATCAGCCTCAGCCTCAGCCTCAGCCTGCCTCAGCATCAGCCTGCCTCAGCCTCAGCCTCAGCCTGCCTCAGCCTCAGCCTCAGCCTGCTTCAGCCTCAGCCTCAGTCTGCCTTCAGCCTCGGCCTCAGCCTCAGCCTGCCTCAGCCTCAGCCTGCCTCAGCCTCAGCCTCAGCCTGCCTCAGCATTCAAAATGTGGCCCGGGAATGGAATTCTGGGAACTCGAAGAACACGAAGTGGCCTACAGTTGGCTCCGGGCATTCAAAATCATGCCCAGGAATGGAGTTCTGGGAACTCGAAGACACGAAGTGGCCTACAGTTGGCTCCGGGCATTCAAAATGTGGCCCGGGAATGGAGTTCTGGGAACTCGAAGAGCACGAAGTGGCCTACAGTTGGCTCCGGGCATCCAAAATGTGGCCCGGGAATGGAGTTCTGGGAAGTCGAAGAGCACGAAGTGGCCTACAGTTGGCTCCGGGCATCCAAAATGTGGCCCGGGAATGGAGTTCTGGGAAGTCGAAGAGCACGAAGTGGCCTACAGTTGGCTCCGGGCATTCAGAATGTGGCCCGGGAATGGAGTTCTGGGAGGTCAAGGAGCACCAAGTGTGTGACTGTTGCATCCGGTTATTCAGAATGTGGCCTGGGAATGGGGTTCTGAGAGGTCGACGAGCACGAAGTGTGTGACTGTTGGTGAAAAACGAGCCCGGCACAGGCCCGGCACCCTGCCGGCCGGCAACTCCCAACGCCTGCCCGGACCCCCCTGTGGAGTGATCTGTGAGCTCTTTTGAGTCAACTAGAAACCTATCAGTCTACGCTGTTAGGTAAAAAATGCATCAATGGGAAGCCTCGCTCCCTCTGATCGCTTGTGGGTCATGACTCGGGCCTCCCGTGGCCGTTCGGGACGATGCGGGCACCCCCTGAACGCTCTCGGCGAGGCGCAACTGCTGGAACCAATCCCGAGGCAGGAAATCCGCCGGTGGGCATCGCCGCCCTCAGCGGCCGCTGCCTCGGCAGCGGCGGCCTCGGCCCTCGCCATTATCATTATGTGACCCCGGGTTCCGGGCGCGGTGCCCCAGGACGAGGGGGTGCGGTAGGAGCTGAGAGTTCGACGGCGAAGAGCAGGCAGAAGAGTAGGAGAGAGCAGCGACGGAATACCCGCAGCCTGAAGATGCACAGTAGCGTGGGGCGGGGCGGGGCGGCACCAGCAGCACCGACAGCGAGCAGCTACCATGAGGCCTATGGGCCGTCATGGGGCGATTTGGGGAGCCTCTCGGGCCGTCTTGGTGCGATCTCGGAGGCCGTCAGAGCCGTCTCGGGTCGCTCTTGGCCCGAAAAGGCGCGAACCCTCAGATGCGTCAAACGCCTTCGGAGTATCAATGTTTCTTGTCTCCTGAAACCTTCTCGGAGGTCCCTCAAGCCTTTCGGGGAACATCTATGCGTGAACATCCGAGCGGATGCCCCGAATCACGCCGCAGGAGAAAGAGGAGGAGGAGAGGTGTCGAGGACGACGAGGAGGACGACGATGACACCCGACGGTCCCCAGAAGTCTCAGGGTGTCTCCCGAGTTCTGGCACGGGAGGCCACGGAAAGGCCAACCACGTCCAAGCCCGCACAAAAACATGCAAAGTCGACGACGATGACGACGACGCCAGCCGCGGCTGTAGCGGCGGCGGCGGCCAGAGCCCGCACGCTGGACGAGCGCTGGCGTGAGCCCACGGCCCTGGGCAACCGCAACGACGAAAGCGACCCCGCGAGGCCCAAGACGGACCTACGTCATTTAGAATCCTCGATCCTCGACCCTGGATCCCTCAGTCTCTCCCCTCGATCGTAGACCACAGCGGCTGGCGGCGACAACGACGACCACGACCACAACCACGACGACCACGGCGACGACAGTGGCGACGAGGAGCCCAGGCGGCCTCCAGAGGTCTGGCGACGACCACACCAGGACGATCGATCGACGACGGCCGACGGCTTCCACGGATCTGCAGAATCCAGAGGCCTCCGAGAAGGCCCCAGGCAAGCACAACGCGCCCCAAAACGTGCAATCGTCCGATCACGTCCACAGAGAACGCCCTTTACCATCACGACCACTACAACGATCATCGCGACGATCATCACGACGACGGCGGCGGCTGCGGAGACGGCGGCGGCGGCGGCCGCGGAGGCGGCGGCGGCGGCGGCGGCGGCGGCCTGGCGGCCCTGAGCCCGGGGGGCCCTTCGGCCACCGTGGCATTCACGTCACTTGCGCAGTCTGGGAAAAACTCGGAGCTTTCTGATGCGTGGCACGTCGGTTTCGCACGGCTCCGCGACTGCCCACCGAACCCGGTGCTATCCCACAGAAGGCCCAGCACCTCCATGCGACAAGGGCGGCCTTTGCTTGGGGAGTCTCTCCTTTGGTATCTTGGGGTTCGTGGATTAGCGCAAGGTCTACTGACGACGACTGTGCAGTCGGCTAGAACTTCAGCGCGCGAAGTGCGCGCGTCGTTCGAGCACACACACACACATATATAGCATATAGTAAAATATGTGCGTGTATGTGTGTATATATATATAGCATATAGTAAAATATGTGCGTGTATGTGTGTGTGTGTGTGTGTGTCACACCGTGTGTGTGCCCATAGGTATGTGCACATTGCTTCAGGACGTGTACATCTGTATAGCGCAAAGTGTGTGTATAGTGCATATCGAGAGAGAAAGAGGGATACAGAGAGAGAGAGAGAGAGAGAGAGAGAGCGAGAGAAACAACAACAATACACAGATATTTACACCTGTCGACACCACGTCGTCCGCCCAACGCCGTGGAGGCTGGACCCGGACACCGGGGAGGAGCTGTACGACTCTGAGGCGACGGCTTCGCATGATTCTACTGCTCGGCCGTGAGAGGGAAGACACATCCGCCATCGTGAGGCCTCCCCCAGGCGCAATCTGGGCTCCTGGTGGTCTGATGGTGGTACCCTGACGTGCTCGCGTCGCGAAAGAATCACGACGGCAGGTTTCTGCCAGTGTTCGGCCTCCGGGGGCTCACGCCCGGCCCCGGGGCCGTCAGAAATTAATCGGGATGAGCAGGCGGTTCTGGTCGGGACCTCAGGGGACCCCGTATGGACGAAAGCAAGACATCGCACGTCTGGGCGCATACTTTCCTGGTCCAGGCTCGTCTATGCCGGCGTCCATTCCCTCGTACCGCGGCCGATGTCAGCCCTAATTACCCAGAGCAAAGGAGGAGAGGGAGGAGGAGGAGGAGGAGGAGGAGGAGGAGGAAGGGAGGAGGAGGACGCGGAGGACAATGAGGAGGAGGAGGACGAGGAGGCGGAGGTCCGAGAAGGTTTTGGAGGGTGTGTCGATCTGCTGCTGATTCTAAAAGGGTGTTGCGAGGTCTTGGCGCTTTGGGGGGTGGAGGGGCGTCCTCATCCACAAGAGCCTCTCAAACATCTTGCCCGGGCTATTATGATCATGCCCCTCATAATCATCATCATCATCATCATCATCATCATCATCATCATCATCATCATCATCATCATCATCATCATCATCATCATCATCATCATCATCATCATCAGCATCATCATCATCATCATCATCATCAGCATCACCATCATCAGCATCACCATCGTTATTCATCATCATCAGCAGCAGCAGCATCATCATCAGCATCACCATCGTTATTCATCATCATCAGCAGCATCATCATCATCCACCGCTTCTGGGGAGGAGGAGGGGGGCAGGAGGCCTATCCATAGTCCGCTGCGGCGTTCGGCCACTGTCACTGCGGGCGTCCCTTTCCTAGGCATTTATTGTCGCAAATCTGTCCAGGCTAGGGCTGTGCATGCGCTGGTCTCGAGGCTGGAGGGAGGAGGAGTTGGAAGAAGGGGGAGGCAAAGGATGAAGGAGGACGGAGAAGGAGGAGAAGGGGAACTCATCTCGCGCCTGGCCTGGACGAGTGAATGTGTTGAAACCGGTTCAAGCAGCGCGGGCCAGCACAGTTGTCGGAATTTCGTACATCGCCCCTGAACTCGGATGCGAGTGCGATTCTTCAGTACAAGATGACGAAGTATGAGGTGGGAGCCGTTGTTGCCATAGTCTGGGGGCCAGTAGCTTAGTTTGCTGCTGATGTTAATCTTGAAACAGAAAAAGAAGGTGCGAGCCTCTAGGTGGCGCACTTCAATTGAAAAACTATGCGCGCCATACTTGGGGGCACCAGCAGCACTTAACTTCCATTAGCGAGAGTCTAGCAACAGCAACCAAACAATCAACGGTGGCGTGTTTTGCAATTATGCCGGGGGGCTTCTTCGTTTCCCGGGATAGTGCAGAATTATTCTCTGCGAGAAACGTGATCTTGGTGACGACGGGGTTGCGACCTCCATGGGCTCCCGTCGTGTGCACATCACGACTTTGGACGTCTAGGTTCAATGTCTGCCGTTCGTTCGATTGCTGGCTGAGTTTGCGGATATCACTCGTCAAGTGGTCGGTTCCGCTTTCTCATCTCGCGCTTGGCCCGTAGTCGGCGAGGCAGCCATTGCGACCAGGGCTGTGGACAGACCACGTGTTCGAGCCAGGGTCTGTGCTCGATGCTGGGAGTCGCTTCTTTTTCCTGCTCCCCATCCCCCTCTGCCTCCTCCTGTATCCATCCCGGCACCATGAATTAATCGAGGCGCTCGGGTGAGGCTGATTTTCAAGGGGGTCTCATTGTGGTTCGAAGGAGCTGGAAAACCGAGACCTTTCAGGATCTTCCTTGTCTCGAGCCGTGTCAATAACGAGAGCGCACAGGCTTGCACACTTCGACGCGTCGCCCTTCCATGTCACACGTGGGGACTTTATTGTGATCTGCTGGGGCCCCGTGGGCGAGCAGCTGAGTCTTCAAACCCGTCAACTTGGTCGTTGCGCAGCGCAATTTAGCGCTGTTGCTTTGCGCTCTTGAAACGCTCTTCTTGGGCACTTGGGCGACAGCCTGGCCAGCAGAACCACCGGTTCGTCGCCGAGCCGGTCGTGTCACCGTCGCTTGTGAAGTGCGGCGCGGTGGCTTCGCTTCTCGCTGATCCTGGCGTGGGATGACAACCGAGCTCCCCGGCTGTACCAGCTAATTTTGGTCAGCCTCGGCGCCTAACCTGATGCCGTCCGCGCGGCTTTGCAAGGTCGCCGCCGCAAGAGCAGTTCCGTCGAAGATGCCATGAAGGAGCAGCGGCTGAACGTGCGGCGGACTGTGGCCAGCACCGGCCCATGGACATGCTTCAAATCATCGTGTCTCCAAGGCCGCCGCGGAGCCGATGGCTCTCATGAGAGCGACTGGCGATGACCCCTCAGTATTGTTTGACGCACGCGGTGGCCAGCATGGCGCGATCTGTTGGAGCCCAGCGTCAGTTCTGGGACTTGTATTCTTGACGTGCGCATTGGAGACTGTTTTCTGGCGCGCCATTGTGCTCAAGCTTGCATGTCTAGCGTAGACCGCCGAGACGCATCGTCTAAAGCCCGCGCTACCACTGCAAGGGCGCGCGAGAACACGAGGGGCAAGCAGCAGAGAATGGTCCAAGGGTGAACTATGTTGCAGATTTCGTGATCTGAGTTGCCACGTAGCCGATCACAGAGGGGCTTGTCTGAAAGCGGTAAGCGTCTTGCCACCATCACTTGATCCGAACCCAAACGCCTGCCAGCTCTTCTCAGCAGCACGATCGGCCACTGCGAGCCCGATCAGCTCCAGATCCTTGTCCTTCCTTATCCCCCTCTCCCTTCCTCCCTCCTTCTACCTGCCTTCCTCCTCTCTGCTCTCTCATCCTCCCTCCTCATCTCCTTCCGATTCCCCAATCATCAGCCCATTCATTATTCCTATCTCCTTCTGCATGTTCCTTCTCCTCCAGCGGCTCTTCTTTCTCTTTCCTCATCTCATCTTCCCTCCTCACTTCCCTCCCACTCCTTTCTCCCTCCCCTCTCACCCTTCCCCCCCTCCCTCCCACCCTCCCTCCTACGTGCGTGCTCCTCCTCGTCGTCCCCCTCGTCCTACTCCTCCCCGCCCCTCCACCTGGGTCGCCCACTCCTCGCCCCCCTTTCTCCATGCTCCGTGTTCGCTCCTCTCTTGCCTCAGCTCCTGTATGCGGGCGCGACGCCGCTCCACGTCCACTGCCAGGACGCCTCAGAAATGGCAAGCCGCACCGGCCGCTCATGCCGAAGACCTTCGCGTTGTGAGTGCCCTCCCCCTTTCCTCCTGTTCCGCGGCCGCCCTCTGCCCTGTGTCTGTCTCTTGCAGCCGGACAATTCGCATGCTCTGCCCCAGCTACTAGAGTGTGCGAGCGGATTGCCTCTGCCGCGCCGCGATGGAAAAAGTTCGCTTCTCTCTCCTGTTTCTCCTTGTCCGTCCTCCCTCCTCCGCTCTTATCTCCCCTTGCTTCTCGCTTCTCTCTGGCGGCCTCCGTTCCGCACCGGCCGCGCCCGCGCCGCGGGGCGTTCGCAGAGGGTGCTGGGAGGAGGCCGCACATGCCCGGGGGGGGGAGGGTGGGCTGGGGTCTTCACCCGCCGTCCCGCGCACCCTGCCGCGGTCTATGGGGACTGGGCCTGCCATCCGTCGCCCTGGTCCTGGTCGTCGCCATGGGCGCCTTCCGAGGAATACAAAAAAGCCGTCGCCCGAGCGGTCCCTCCTCGCCGAGAGCACCCCAACGAGCAGCGCTCTGCAGACCTCCGACGGACAGCGCCCTGGCATGTTCTTCAGAGGGGAGCAGGAGACCTCCGGAAAGCGCACTGGCATTTTCTCTTGCTTTCTCCTCCTCGGCGGAATTCGGTGCGCGTCCAGATGGATGGCCTCCGATAGAGCCCTACGCCTCCACGCTGGCCCCGGGCAGGCAGGGCTGCCCGGCAGGGCTGCCCGGCGGAAGGGGAATAGGAGGGGAAAAGCAGGCAGACGACGACGAACGCGCACGCGGGAGGCTGGGGCCGGCGGGGCGGCCGGGCAGGCGGAAAGGGGGCCGAGGAAAGGGAGGTTTTTCTGTTTACGTTGGCCATACACGAGTGCCGACGCTGTTGGGTTCCTCCGGTGACCCCAAATAAGGAAGGATTCCGACTTGGACAGACGTTGGCTTGCTTGAGCCGCCGCGCCTTGGTGGCAACGATCCGAGGAAAAGTTGTTCAGAGCGCAGCGTTCGAGCAAATGAAGGCCAGGCCCTGGCATTGTCTCGTGCTTAAAAAATCGTTCGGCGGCCTCTAACAACCAGGTTGTAGCGTTCTGGTGGCAAGCACAACAGTAAGATCGCCAGAGTGCAGACTAAGCGGTGCAGGAGTTGCAAGGCGAGGCGGAAAAGTGGAGGGCCCGCGGAAAAGTGCAGGCGCAGGCAAAGGATTCAACATCCTCCCGGACCGTGCCTTCTTCGTGAGCCTGCGATGCTCGCGGACAGTCGCGTGGTGGCTGACGTTGGCCACAGCACTTTCAAGGGTGGCGCACGGAGGATAGCCTCGGGTGGAATGTTTGCAATGGAAACAAAGGCACTCCGCCCTCGAGGGGCCCGCATTTCCGCCACCCAAAAGGGGGAAAGGTCCTCTCGGGAGCCCGGGCGGTGGCCAGGAGACTTCCTCTCCTTCTTCTTCCCTCTCCTTCTTCCTCTCCTCCCAGCCACCCTCGCGTTTTACGAAACGGTGAGCTTTGTGCTGTTGGTGTAGGCGGGACTTAACCTTGGATTCCCTCCCATTATTCTGTTGCTTGAGATTGGCCTCTATTCTTTTCCTCGGCTTCTGCAGAAGGGACAGATGATTTCTGATGCGATCGAGGTTACCAGGTCTGTTGTTGCTGGATCTGGACATGGAGTACATTTGGCGAAAGTCATGCTCCACAGGTTGCTGGATTCAGTACACCGTGCTGTGCCCCCTGC